TGGGACTCAGGAGGCAGCAATAGATTGGGAGTGGGCGGGGTAAGCGAACGGCCGGCGATCCAACAGAGCAGAGAGTGAGGGTGAGTGAAGGCGTGGGGGGGGGCGAGAGTGGGCTTTGGCGACCCCTGTGAAATGGCCGTTGGACCCCGAACCGCTGCCCTAGAAAGAAGCTGCCATGGTGATTTCTCATCTCTTCTCCAGAGAGATTGGAAGGCTTCATCTACTCACTCATCTTTAGTTCTTCACAGTAGTTGTCATCTCTACTCATTCGCACAGGTGTCTTCAGTCAGTCATGGCTCACACCAGAAGCCACAGCAAGCAATATTCATAATGTGTACTTTTTAAAAATTGAGTTTTTATTTACTTGCTATGTTTGCCCTGCTTTTCACAGTTTTTTTTTTTGTTTGTTTTGGTTTGAATATTGTAGTAGAAACGTTTGAAGCCATGTTCAACACGTTTACCGAAACAGAAACCAAATTTGTGTCTTCAACCCTGTTTCCTATCATTCTTACTTCACACAGGACTTAAATCAAGCAGGATCAATCAAGAGTGCACCTCTGGTGCTTTTAAGCAAGGCAGATCGTCATGTGTCATCTCTTTTGAACAGGTTGTCTTAGCAAATCTACATGTTCAATGTTGAATAAAACTCGACTGGCATGCATGTTAATAATCAGTTTACAATATCTGCCACTTTCATCCATTGCAAATGAATAGAAACATGTATGAATTGATCTAGTTTTTGAATCACGTGACATGCATTACAGCATGATCAATGCCCAATATTCACCATGTCTGACTATTGTTACATAGCATTTTAATGCATGGTCTATGGATCCACTTTATCTTGGATTATACATTTTTGGTAGGTCTTGGGTTTAATAGAAATTCTGATTTTTAATAAAATTATTGATTTTGTCCAGTGGTGTTCTCCATAGGAAGTAAAGTACTGAACAGCCTAGTTGAATATTATAATGTTAAAATTATAATGTGATATTTAATTTTCTAGCATATTCAGTGGAGCTTGTTGCTATGTTTAAGTTTTTTTACTTAGCCTTAGAATAGAAAACAATAAATTACATACAGATTTTGATGGTATGAATTAAAGTTTTTGTCCATACACCACTCAAGATGTGTTAAATTTATAACATGATTGCTACATGTATAAATGAGTATGTCCTGCTGCCTTCTGGGAAAACAATTAGAACAGGTCTTTCTGTTAATATAAAACAGTACTAACTATACTATCAATGACTAACTATAACTACAACTATTACTATAGGTACTAGGAGGAAAACCCATCCTGAAAAGTGTCTGAGGTAATTCCATCTTCAATCATAACTTGAGTGTTTTTATGCTGAGAGAAAAACACAAATTCTCTAAATTTTATTAGAATTCTGGGTGCATAACTCAGAATCTTTAGGTGGCCTGCTCAGGCATAGCCTCTTACAGCGCCCCAGCTTCATCTGGCCAATGTTATGGCATTACAGAGGTGCCACTCAAGCACTTGTATTATTTCTATCATCCCTGTTGCCCTCCCTTTTCACTTTCCCCATACTTTCCTTTCTCCTTGCATTCCTGGCTTGCCTCCCCCACCCCCCTCAGTCCCCAATCCTCTGCCTTTCTCCACACTTCCCTTAGCAAGAAACTTGTGTAAAAAGTGGACAACACATTTTCACAGTTCTTGTTGAACCATTAAATTCTTCCTTCTCTTCTAACTCTTTATCTCTCCTTGCTGGCCTGATGAACTCCATTTCATAGTATTTACATGTTGAGAAATTGGATTTCTTGATTCCTGTGGGTTCAGGAAACAGACACAGTTCCTCACTATTATTACTCCCCAGAACGAAAACAGGCTTGGCTCCTGATCAAGCAGGGAGATTATTACAACTGATGATCTTCTGGGGTTGATATAAATTGCCATAGTCGATCACAAATCTCTTCTATGTCTGATCCAGGGATGGAAGGTTCCAGGATGTATGTGCAGGGTACCATACTCAATTTAAAGGGAGGAAGGCAGGGCCTAGTGAGAAGCTGACTCAGTGAATGATGAGGAAAAAAAATAATATTACAGGGAAAGAAGAGGTGGGATGGGGAAAGGTTGAAAAGAAGGTGAAATGAGAACTTTATCACTCTGAAATGCTGTGGCACCATTTAGATCCGTTCTCAAATGTTCTGCTGAAGAACTGAGCAAAGTGACTAAGGTTGAAGGAAAAAGAGGAAGGTGGGAGTAACTATTTATTAAACAACAATTAAAAACAATCTGAAATTATCTAGCATGATATACATATCTAGCTACTTAAACATTTTCTATTATCTTTGTTTTATAATCCAGTTCAGAATCAATATGTCCACTCCAGTCAGTTGTAACATTTGGTGTAAGAAAAATGCCCATATTAGAAGGATGAAAGCAAAAACATTATAGCTCAGCCCACAGTAATAAGGAAAGTGATATATGTTTATTTTAACATAGACACAATTCTTATAGCCCTCTTGTTGTAAGTGCTTTGCAATTCTTATATTGCCTGTTTTTCCAATAACTGATAAATCATTTGTGTAACAGGCAGGGAACTGAATACAAGTTTCTTCCCTCAGGCAGTTTATCTGCTCTTTGGTCATCTGAATGGAGAAGTTTCCATTTCCTCAGAAAGTAGCAGAAGATTAAATAATGTGCAGAGGAGGGATTGTTGTAATGAATCATTTGGGGGTGGGGGGAAACTAGTGATGTTGACCAAGTTGGCCTCCCCATTGTCTCCTCACTTCTACGTACAAGCACCCATTTTGATTTTTTTTGGAATCAACAATGCCATAAGAAACTTTTGCCTTGTTCAGACAACCAGCTGAGGCTTTCTCCAAGAGTTGGGAGGTTTCTGGTAGCATTCTTCCCTAGCCAAAGACGGGAGAAAATGTTCCTATGACATCCTTTGTTCTGGCATTCAGTAATTAAGACAAGTGTTGGCCAAAGTTCAGTGAACCCAAGGCCTATGCAGCCTTGTCAGCCTTGTGCAATAGAAGTTCAAACTCCAGTGGTTCTCATTAGGAGAGCGTAGACAGTATATTTGAATATCTAGTCTGTAGTTTGTTTCTCACCCAGGTAATTATAGGAAAACAATTTCAAGGAAGAGCATGTAGCAGGATGATGCAGTGACTTTCTCTTCCTTGTGAAATGTCAATGCGTGGGTTGGATAATGCAGCCCAGTGAAGCTATGGCAGATAAATAGTCATATGTTATAAATAAATATTTTGTTTTCATTCACTTTGTGCTCGTGGGCTTCCTTTAAAAAAGGAAGGGAACTGAATGAAAAACAAAATAAATTTATAAATGCATGTATTTTTATTTTAAAGGATAAAATAAAAATATATTTTTTTTATTCTGTATCTTTTATTTTGTATCTTTCAAATTTAAAAAGGGAAAATTGGATTGCAAATATTGGTATGAATGATCCTATATGGTTTTAAATTATGCTTTCATTGTTCATTATATTCATCCAGCTGTGTCGCGTTGAACTCATTTCTGATGTTATACTTTATGGTAATAACATTGTAACAGATCAGAAAATACCATTACCAAAACTAATTTGCTTTATTTTGGAAGCTCATATATGTCGATTGTTTATCCAGTTTATATCAGTTCCCATCCTTGCCCAGAATGCTACATTAAATCACATTTACATATGTGATGATGTTTTCAAGATTGGTAGATATCAAATCAATATAGTCACAATCTGATTTTTTTCCCCCAGGAACAATCTGGATATCTATATTTATATGTGTACCAAAATAACAAATAGTTTTAAAATGTGCCGAAATCAATACATTTGTGCTTCAGCAAGAAAGAATGCAAAACAGAGGCTATTGGAATGCAATTTATTTGTTATCTTTCACTGTAGTGATTTCAGTGTTGCCTTGACTATGTTGAAAAAAAAAATGATATATCAACTGTGATACTTGTTCAGTATTTTAGCACTGTTTTTCCTAGCTCAACTGAATTTCAGTTAAACAAAATGTTTCCATGATAAGAAGTGGCAAACTGACCTTACAATATGTAAGTGCACATATAGCAGACAGGACAGGACATTTTTATTACCAGCTTTGCTCAGGTGTCTGCACCATGCCATATATTAATCTGCAACATCCATCAGTTGTTATGAGCAGTTTGAGCCTTCAGCAGATAACAGGAGATATATATCAGGAAGAGCTGAATGTAAATCCAAACCAAAGACTGAGACATAACTGGTTTTTTTTAAAAAAAGGGATTGTGACTGACAGAGTAACATTGATGCCAACGCTTTTTTAAAAGCAGTGAAGGCGGGAGGTGTGGTGGGGAATCTATCTTTGTGTCTAGTTGTTTTGGCATGCAGTGCCGTATAGCAATATCCTAAGGGGGATCAGTTGAAACAGATTATGTCCAGGATGTGAGGAGGTCTGTAGATATTTTCTCAGCCGTCTTTCTGGATCGTGCAGTATACAGATCCTCAATGGAAGGCAGGCTGGTTGCGATTGTTTTTTCTGCAGTCCTAACTATCCTTTGAAGTCTGTAACCAGACAGTTATTGAGGTACAAATGACAGTGTCAATAATTCCTCTGAGTTGACGTAGGAAGAACATTCTTCATTGTGCCTTTTTAATGATGGTTCTAATGTTAGGTGTTCATTTCAAGTCCTTGGAGATAATAGAACCAAGAAATTTGAAGGACTCTACTGTTGATACTGTGTTGCCTAATATTGTAAGTCAAATTTGCGGCCTGCGGGATGGATGTGTCATGCACTGGCCACGCCCATGCCCAGTTTAGCGAAGGGAGGAAAAGTCGTAATATGTCATGTGACGCCGCCGTGATGACATGAGTTTGCCCCCCCTGTTGTAAGAGGTGGTAGAACAGGAGAGAGTAGGTCGTCTTCAAGTTTGAAATCTGCTTATCCCTGAAAAGTATCACAATGCATGCCTAACTTCCATTCAGAATAAATATTGTTTTCTTTAAAATCCCTTGTGGGATCTTATTTGCAGAAAACAAGTCTATCCAGCTCCACTGAAGGTAGCACAATTATTTTCGCATCTGTGGCGGACAAAGAATCTGATGCTGCAGCAAAAGGCCCACCACAACCAAAACCTTGTTTTACTGATGGTATGTATCAAAGAGACCAACTTTATTGTGGTGATTGTGTGTATTCATTGTGAATTTATTTTGGGAAATTTGCAAATCATTGCCTTTTTCAGCCCTTGTGTTCAACCAAAACGTACTTTGTTAATCTGTATATGATACCACCAGGAATTTTTATCTGAATCTGCAGTTTGTAATTATCTTTGTACTGCTGTGCACCTTAATTTATCTTTGCTGGCTAGTTACCGAAAGGTTTTGTTTTGTTTTGTTTTGTTTTGTTTTGTTTTGTTTATTTGTCAAGTGCGTATAAGATAACAGATATAAGTATAAACATGATTATGAATACAGGATAAGGATAAAAATAAATGGGGACAGTAGAACAGGGATGGTAGGCACGTTTGGTGTGCTTATGTGCATCCCTTATACACCTCTTAGGAATGGGGTGAAGTCAACAGTAGACAGTCTAAGGATAAAGTTATGGGGGTTTGAGGAAGTAATCACAGAGTCAGGTAGTGCAAGCGTCAAGTCATTTATTACGGAATTGATTTTTTGGCCTCTGAAGAAAAGAAAATGCAAGTTTATGAAAGACTCAGACTTCAGGCCCACTTGTGATGTGACTGACAGTAACTTTTGGAATTAGAAAATGAGAATTAGATTGTAGAGGGTTTTTCACTTGCCAGGATACAGATAGTAAATTGCTGTTTACAGACTGCAAAGGAAGAAGTTTCCTGTTGATTCATTTTCTTTGTGTGATTAAGCAGAATGCAAAAAAGATTGTGGAGGTGTTTTAGTCAGTGAAAAAAAAAGTAGAGAAAGTATGAAAAGTTGCCTTAGAAATATATTTAGTTACTGTTTGTTTAACCTGGATAAGGAAGAAATAACCAACTTCTGAAGAGTTGTAGTAGTAGTAGTAACAATGACAGTGTAAGTAGAGAGGCATGTTTCTAGAAGCTAAAAGCACAATTGTCAAGGGTGGGGCTTAAATTGCTTAATGCAGTTTTAAGAAGCTGTAATAATAACTATAGCTGCTGCAGAGTCAAGCCTTTTATTTATAACCGCAAAGCTTACATCTTATATTTTACTGTATATATATTTTTCCCTTCCTTTACATAGTAATGAACTTATTACTCATTTCTTTGTCTTCTGGCCTTTTGCCAGCCTCAGTCTTCACACTGTTATTTCTGAAAATACATGCCATTTATCCTTCATAATTTGCAATCAATAATACAGTTGGAGTATCGGAAAAATGCAATATGCCTGCAAATGGAAAAGTAAAACATATTCCAGGCAAAAAAACAAGTAGATTTTTATCATATACACACACACACACACACACACACACACACACACAGAGTGACCATTTGGAAAGATTGCTTATTTCCCTGTGGATTTTTAAAGATTCCCCAGATATTTGGGAGAAATCTCTCCCAGATTAGAAGAAACCTGAGTGAGCCAACCTTTCCAACTCTCCAAATTCAATGCCATGTATGTTGATGATATATTAATCGATTATCTATCATGAATGCTGAATTTAGTACTAGTAATTTATAAAATTTACAGGCCCAGGAACCTGCAGAGGAAGTGGAATCTGAAATATCATCTTCTTCCCTTCTGTTTGCTAAGACTTTTATTGAATTGGCATTTTGTCAATTAATAGAAACTCAAACTTTCCATGTGCAAAACCCAGTTCTGGAAACAAAATGCAGGGGTTTCTATAAAGAGTTTGTTATCATAGATAATGGTTCTTTTTTTTAGGGCTTTTAAGTTTGTTTAATGCAAATATTCTGGTTTCTAGGTTGTGTAGAGAAATTCAGATGTTGTCAGATCAATATAGAGTCTGGGAAAGGCAAATGCTGGTGGAACCTTCGCAAAACTTGCTTTAAGATAGTGGAACACAATTGGTTTGAAACCTTCATTGTCTTCATGATTCTTCTAAGCAGTGGTGCTTTGGTAAGTTGAATGTATTCCATATCCAACTGGAAACAAAACAGTTGTAGGTTGCTTGAGCTACAACAGGATCCCACATTACAGCCCATGCAAGTTCCATTGCATGCAAAATTAAGTAAGTAGACTAATTGGAGGGACAGCCTTGATATTTATACAAATGAAATTGAGTACATGACCACTAAGGAGGAAAACGGTTATGGTGACCCCCTGGTTATAGGGGTTATGGGGAAAAGATGTCTGGTATTATCAGTGGTCACTTCAGCATCAAATTGATTTATATAATAAGGGGACATGAAATCACATGATAGCTAGACATGTTTCCAGATAGTCTTTTCTTGTAGCTTTTATTATTTCTTGTTTATTTTTGCTTTGCTTCATTTAGTAATCCAAATAATTATTTGTTAATAATAGTTGGCTGAGGTTAAATGTTTTCATCACAATTTTCTATCTTTTCTGTAGCATCTTCAAAAGGTTTCAAAATTTCTCTAAGTCTCTAAGCTCCTACTTCTCTGTTGTTGAATAGATTATGAAGGATATGACAGAACTAGCCTTAATTCAAACAGATTCTATCTGGAAGCTCATTAAAATGCTAATAAATATTTGAAAGATTGATAAAGTCAAGGGAACTGGCTCTTAACACTGTTCAATTCTGAGAATATGAAATAGTTGTTAAAGTCCTGTGCTGTGGTACATTGAACATAAAATGTCAGTTTGATATTTATGAGGATTTTGCAGTTTCATATGTATGGCATATAAGAATGCTTTATACGGGCTCAAAATCTACACAACCACAAGGTGGCAATGAAGAGCTTCAGAAAACTTTGGTTCTTTACCCACTGTCTCCCATCTCTTTGGATGTCTGCAGCATGTATATAAAAGCCATTTACAATGTGGTCCGTTAAGTGCATATGATGGGCTGATCCAGGTAGAGCTTATTAATGAGCTTTACCTGGGGTGCCAAGCTAAGAGTCCTTAAGACAACAGCTCTAGTTCTTTGCTACTCGGCAGGTGAATACACCTGCCCAATCTTGTATAAATCAGCACATGCTGGGAAAGTAGAAGTTGCTCTGAATGACGCTAGCAGAATTATTACCAGATGTTTTAAACCTACCCCTTTAGATAAGAGCTACAAATTAGCTGGCATTGCCTTACCTGCTGTTCCACACTTGATTTTTTTTTAATAGAAATAGTGTGCAAAAGGAACCTCTTTGTCACTGATTGTTAAAATAGGTAGGGGAGAATGAGAAGAACGAGTTATTACATTAGAGGAGGTAAGAGACATGAAAAAGATCAGGCTGGACAGACAGATAGAGAAGGTAAATGGGAATAAAGGTGGGGAGGCCACAAAGAAACTGGGGAAAATAGATTTGTCCTGATGGCTTTAGATACAGGAAGTATATTATTATTATTATTATTATTATTATTATTATTATTATTATTATTATTATTATTAAATAAGGTACTTGGTCGATACCTAAGATGCTGGCAGCAACCCGTATCAACCATCAGCACCAGTCAATAATATTTGTGATACATTTTTAAATGCTCAGTTGACTGAGTTTCATGTTTAATGAATAAAAATTTATAATAATAATGATAATAATAATGATGATGATAATAATAATCAGATTGCACCTGCCAAGAAGAATAGGAGGCAGAGGGCTATTGCAAATCCATTAAACTGTAGAAAAAGAAAAACGAAGTTTGAATGACTATGTGAATCAAAGTACAGAAAAATTGCTGTAGGCTGTGAAAACGGAGAACATTATAAAAACAACAGGGGAAAAAAGGCATAATATAAGGAAAAACAGGTGGATGACAGATTAAATGGATGGAAAACCAAAGTTTTGCATGGATAGCACTTGAAAAACATTGAAGGAAAATGTGATAATTTGACATGGGCATGGCTTAAGATAAAGAAAGAAACTGAAAGTTTAATACTGGCTGCTCAAGAACAAGCACTACAAACTAATGCCATGAAAGCAAAGATATAAAAAACCACTGACAATCCAAACTGCCGACTTTTGCAATGACAAAGTTTAAACTGTTTCACATTTAATATGTGAGTGCAACAAAATCGTGCAAACAGATTGCAAAGCTAGACATGACTGAGTTACTAAATTAATCCACTGGTCATTATGTAAAAAATACGACTTACCTGTATCCAAAAAGTCATGAGAACATGAAGTGGAAAAAGTTGTCAAAAATGAGAAGGTACAATTTATTGATAACGCTGTATCAGGAAACGCCAGAATCGAAGAAAAAGAACTGGAAAAAATCATGAAATATCACAATTTGGCCATCAAAACTATGTAATTATGGATGAAACATGTGACAGTGATACCCATTGTCATTGCAGTACTTGGTATCATGTCCAAGAATTTTACAAAACACATCAAGAAATTGCAGCTTCCTGCAATAACACCAGCGGAACTGCAAAAAACTGTGCTACTCGGAACATCGTACATCTTAAGAAGATACTTGGTTGATACTTAGGATACTGGCAGCAATCTGTATCAACCATTAGCACCAGTCAGTTATACTTGTGATACATTTTTTCATGTTTAGTTGACTGGGTTTTATGTTTAATGAATAACAATAGTAATAGTAACAGAGTTGGAAGGGACCTTGGAGGTCTTCTAGTCCAACCTCCTGCTCAGGCAGGAAACCCTATATCATTTCAGACAAATGGTTGTCTAATCTCTTCTTAAAAACTTCCAGTGTTGGAGAATTCATAACTTCTCGAGGCAAGTTGTTCCACTGGTTAATTGATCTAACTCTCAGGAAATTTCTTCTTAGTTCTAGGTTGCTTCTCTCCTTGATTAGTTTCCATTCATTGCTTCTTGTCCTGCCCTCAGGTCAGGGGTGAAATCCAGCAGGTTCTGACAGGTTCTGGAGAACAGGTAGCGGAAATTTTGAGCAGTTCAGAGAACCGGTAGCGGAAATTTTGAGTACCACCTCTGGCTGGCCCCAGAGTGGGGTGGGAATGGAGATTTTGCAATATTCTTCCTCCAGGAATGGAGAGGGAATGGGGATTTTGCAGTATCCTTCCCCTGGAGTGGGGTGGGAATGGAGATTTTGCAGTATCCTTCCCCTGCCATGCCCACCATGCCCAAGTCAGGCCCATAGAACCGCTAGTAAAAAAATTTAGATTTCACCATTGCCTCAGGTGCTTTGGAGAATAACCACCAAATGAGTGTGGTGGTTCATAAGTAGGGCCTATGAAGTAGTACTAAACATTGTGTTGTTTAACAAAGCAGCAGAAAGAATCCTGACTGAATAACAAAATACAACTATCCAAAATATAATTGTGATAGAAATCAATGCAAAACAAATCTTTGAAATATGGAGTACAATATGGGTGGGTGGTATTTTCTTTTCTATTTTCCTTCCTTTCCTTCTCTGTCTTTAATCTTTTACCTTTATGACCTTACTTGTAGTAGTATTTTAATCCATAGGCTTTCGAAGACATATACATTGAGCAGCGCAAGACTATCAAGATCGTACTGGAATACGCAGACAAGGTCTTCACCTACATCTTTATTTTAGAAATGCTTCTAAAGTGGGTGGCTTATGGCTTTCAAGCCTATTTCACCAATGCCTGGTGCTGGCTGGATTTCATGATTGTAGATGTAAGTCCGGATTCCATTTACTTACCTTCATGCCTTAGTCTGAACCTAACAATGCAGCAAGTGATTGTATGTGACACCAGACCAATCACAGGGGCATCCATTAGTCTCCATACTCTAAATTGTTAATAATATTAATAGTTTAATTTTAAAAGAAATTCTTAAAAAACTTGTCAGATTGTCATATTTGGCACGAGTGTTGTATTCTCACATAGCATCTCCTAATATTTTCTGTCTTTGGGGGGTGGGGGAGATGCTTTGAGTCAGTGTTGGCTCCTGCTTATTGCCTGAACAAATCCTTGCAGTTTTCTTCACCTGATTTTGGAAGTAGTTTTGCCCTTGCCTCTTCCCCAGGACTGTGAGAATGAATAATCTTAAGTTTGGGTGTCATTGTTCATTTTATTATTATATTGATTTTTTTTGTTTTGGTTTTGAATACAAACATTTCATACCGCCTGGCCACTGGAGATAAAGCTGACTCTTTAGAGCAGAGGTGTCAAACTCAAGGCCGAGGGGGCTAGATCCGGCCTGAGGGGTGCTTAGATGTGGCCTGCAGGGCCACCCTGGAAACAGCGGACTGGCTAGCATTGCCTCTGCCAGTGAAAACGGAGCTTGGGAGGACTGCACGTGGTCCTCCCGAGCTCCGTTTTCGCTGGCAGAGGGTTGCAGGAGGCCATCGCAGCTGAAAACGGAGCTCAGGAGCCCGTTCTTTCTAGCAGAGCGCTCAGACCACCATAGGCTCCCCCAACATGAGTGATGTTGAACTGGCCACGCCCACCCTGGCCATGCCCACTCTGGCCCCCCAAAGTCAAACACAACCTTAATGCAGCCCTCAATGAAATTGAGTTTGACACCCCTGCTTTAGAGGTAAAGGTTCCCCTGTCTAGTTGTATCTGACTCTAGGGCCCAATGCTCATCTCCATGTCTTGGCCAAGGGAGCCAGCATTGTCCAAAGACATTTTCCGTGGTCATGTGGCCAAGATGGCTATATGCCAAAGGCACACATTACAATGAATGTGTAAAAACAGGCTAGTCTAGAACAGTTAATGTAATAACTTTGCTTTAAAAAAATGCAGTTCAAGGTATGCTGCCTTGAATTCCACCAGGGTGAAAAGCAGACACTAAAAATATAGGTTAAATATTTAAACCATTCAATTCAGATGCTTTAATCTGGTAATCCGTCTGATCATTTAAGTCTTTTTTGTTAATTACATTTTTAAACAGGATACTTCCCCCCTTCCCCCCAGCAATTATTCAGTGACATGATTTTGATCTCCTAGTGCTTCTTGTTTTTGAACAGGTTTCCTTAGTCAGTTTAATTGCCAACGCCTTGGACTATTCGGAACTTGGCCCTATTAAATCGCTTCGCACTCTGAGAGCTTTGAGACCTTTAAGGGCCTTATCCCGCTTCGAAGGAATGAGGGTAAGTAAGACCAAAGTTATTGGTAACGAGCTGTTCCATAGATGCCGATTCATTGGGGATTTCGGTAGAGTAATTTGTTGGGTGAAGTTATCCGCTGTTTCCACTATTAGAAACATTCCCTATAACAAGGATAAAGATTTGCAGAGAAGATTATCGCAGCCACAGTCATTCTGGCGAATAGTTTTTACAGCCAAGTGCATTGTTCTTTTAATGCTATCCTTAGAACAATTTGAGAAACACACGATGCAAAATTGCAACATAAGGCAACGTAAATTAATCCCAGAACAGATTGCATCGCTTTGTTTATTGCCAAACAAGCTGTAATATAAAAAGCAAAAAAAAACTGTATAAAAATGAGTACTTCACAGACTTATTCAAATTAAAAATAAGATGTAGATCCTGGTAGAAGCCATAGTAACAATATATATATATATAAATGCTGTCTCACAGTGCAAATCCCACCATTCCTTCTGTATGTATCAGGATGTCAGGCTGAGTATTTCATTATTCCACCATTGCTCCTTTGCCCTACCAATGCATTTGGCTCAGATGAATTCCTCTTCCACTGCAAAACTTGCATACTTTCTTGACAAATCAGTCCAAAGATATCAAATAGAATCATTATAAATTGTCAATCCTCAAAATTCCTGAGGTTCTTTTTTTTTAAAAAAAATTCTACCCTATAAACTAATTGTGGAAACATAATATTTAAAAATTTTCTGTTCTATATTCCTGAGATTTTCTTTCGTGCTACTGATGGAGAAGAATAATTCTTACTAGCTGCTGCTTTTTGGTGGCCCACATCAGCATGTTTGTTATGTGAATGTTGCCTGGTGAATTGTCTATGATTAGTTTTATATATTTACACTTCAGGCAATTTCTGCTTCATTGCTCTTTTTCTTGTTATCTTTTTTGCAAACCTAGAATAATATGTTCTTCTGAATTGACTTCGTATTGGGACAAATGTATTTCATCTTTCAGGTGCCATAAGACTGTTGGATGTAGACCTACAATTTTTTGCACAATTTTTGTTCCCCTCTCTCCAGGTGGTGGTCAATGCCCTGATAGGAGCCATACCCTCGATTATGAATGTGCTTCTTGTTTGTCTTATATTCTGGCTAATTTTCAGCATCATGGGTGTAAACCTGTTTGCTGGTACATTCTTTGAATGTGTTAATAAAACAGATGGAGTAAGGATTTCTCATTTAATCGTTCCATTTAAAAATGTCTGCGAGACTTTAGACTATGCCAGATGGAAAAATGTTAAAGTCAACTTTGACAACGTTGGAGCTGGATATCTCTCTCTTCTTCAAGTTGTAAGTAACTATGAGTAAGATACTACCATGTTTCCCCCAAAATAAGACCCTGTCTTGCCTTTTCGCTGTCACAGGCCTTCAGGAACTTCTGCAGTTGGCAAGGCCAGCAAGGCTTTCCTGAAGGCCTCTGAAGCCGATAACAGATCTCCAGATTGATCCGGAGCTCTGTTATCGGCTGCAGAGGCCTTCAGGAAAGCCTTGCCAGCTGCAGAAGAAATGGGCCGGCAAGGCAGGTGTCGGGGTGTGCGAGGCCTGGCTGCAACTGTCTGAAGGTAAGTAGTAGGGCAGCTCTCCACCACCTCATCTCCACCCTAAGTTAATTTTTGCCCATGCACCCTGGAGTGGGTGGGATCTTAATTAGGGCTTATTTTGGGAGTAAGGTTTATATTGGGCACATGTGTAAAAATCAATAGGAGTAAGTCGTATTTTCGGGGAAACACAGTAGTAATAATTTTCCTTCTATACTATGTAGTTTATGGTTTCATAGGAGAAATAGAAACAAGTGAAGCAATTAGCCAAATCCTATCAATCCACATCCCTATTTTCAAGCAAGCAATATTTAGCATGTAGGAACACCGTATCAACAGAGCATTTTCTTTGGAAGAGTTCTTGCTGTATCTTCACCATTTTTGTCAAATGAAAGCCACTGGACGGATCCAGATCAGTACATTCAGTGACTTGTGTAAAATAGTTATGACTCACTGTTTCAGTTCTTCTGTTCTAACATATTTATGCTTTGCTTCAATGTCATTCTTCTTTAAGAAGGAAACATATGAAAAGAAGTATTGTTGTTAAAAATAAGGATAGTGAAGAACTATATGTAAAGCCTATCCAGGCAATGCTAAGTACATTGGCATTTGCATTAGTCACTATTGCTGGCCATTTTATGCAGGTATCCTATGCTAAATTATAAAACTGCAGAACATTTACTTGGCCATTAAAATTAGTTCAGGGTCATTTGTAGACTAGCACAGTTCTTTATTCTGAAGCTTTTCATTTAATTCCAAATAGAGGTTTTCAACCTCAATTGAAGTGTAGGTTGCGTCCATAGTTCTGTTAATGGAACAGCATCTGTTATATAACAACACTGACACTTTTTTTAATAGGCTACCTTTAAAGGATGGATGGAAATAATGTATGCTGCTGTTGATTCAACAGGAGTAAGTATAGAATGACAAATCTACATGTGTTCATGATAAGTAGATTTTGCTTTGCTTTCAGATTATATAAAGGCATTTGACTGAATGAACGTTACTGCTTTCAGTTAGATTCATTCAGTGGCCAGTTGCTTTGGACATCTTTCTTGTCTGTCAAAGTTTTGATCTCTAGATATCAGAAGATAATCTGGAGTTTAAAAGCCTTTTCATTAGGATCAAACAGCAGAAATTTGACTTTTAATCCTGGGTTATGAATTAGGAGGAGCGCCATCTCCTTAATTTTGCCTCCTTGACTTTCTTTTTTTTTTTCTTTGCTTCTCTCTTTTGGTAAGAATAATAGGACCTTCAGAGTAATTATTTGTCAGATACCTAGACCTGTGTAGAAGAATATTGCTTTTCTCCAAATCTTTTCCTCTCCATGTTGGGGAGAGCCCCACTAATAGCCAAGAATACTGAGACAAGAGCATCTTCCATTACTCTTTGCCAAGAGAGCATTGAGTAATAGTTGTTCATCTCCCTCACTTCTCTCGACAGTTATAACAACACTGTAACAACAACATGAGAAAGCATATAGTACATGTGCTGAACTCTTCTTCACTGACAGAGCAGCCATTTTGTTTTCTTCAGAACTGCTTGGGACTTAGTTTGACCATCTTCCAATTCATCTGGAATGAATTCTCAAACTTCTTCTCTCCAGTATTTACTATTGAAGAGAATAACATTATGGAAGCTAATATCAGATTCTTCCATTATTGCACCAGTGCACCCTACACTGCTCCACTTATAGACTATCCAATGATAATATACAATTATGTTCAGAAGGATCCTAACTGGACCTCTTTCGGCATTGGTTTGCTGCTTCTAATGTCATCCAAAGTATTTTCCTCACAGACCACCTGGGAAGTTAATGAAGAAAATGGATTTCAAGCTATAACAATATATTCTGTAGAGAGAGAGTTTGGTCTAGCAATTAAGGCACCAGCCTAGAAATCCAGAGACCAAAAGTTCTAGTCCCACCTTAGACATGAAAGCCGTCTGACTGACTTTGGGTCAGTCATTCTACCTTAGTCGACAACTGTGACAAACTGGTCAGTCAATTCCAATGGATCAACCAATGGATCAAGAATCGGTTGATCCAAAAAAAGTGGACCCTGCAGGTATAAGAAAATGCTAGGAAGGAAAAAAAATGATAAATTCTGTACATTATTTCATTGTTCTTTTATGAATATGGTGATATTCATCAAATATTTAGCGTACAAATTCTTCAGCATTCCTGAAAGCTGATTGGATAATATTTTTCCATGCCTCCTTATTTTATAGATAGAAAAGCAACCCCAGTATGAGCATAACCTGTATATGTATCTTTACTTTGTCGGCTTCATTATATTTGGTTCATTCTTCACTTTGAATCTGTTCATTGGCGTCATCATTGATAATTTCAACCAACAGAAAAAGAAGATAAGTATTCATTAACGTCTGTTAACGTTTTTATTGGCTGTGTTTTTATAATGGATGATTTTAAAGTTTTTTTAGGTTGCAAGCCACCCACAGCCATTGGATACAAGATGGATGGCAAATAATTTTCATAAATAAATAAAATTTAAACAATTAGTTTTCACTTCAATATACTTATTGTTATAATTAAATAGCTAGAATGTCATTCTAGTGGTTTTACTGCATGAGCTTACCGATAATTAGTTCTCAATATAATTATGCTTCATTCAAATTAGCAACTATATATTACATTTTAGTAACTGCTACACATAAATGTTTGTGCAAATATTGTAGCAGTAGGCTCACTCAGTCCTACAACATTAAGAAGGCTGTCTAAAATTGATGTAGTTGTTATAATGGAAGAATAATATCTCATAGATATTTGTGGATATTATTTTTGTTTCATAGCTAGCATTTTAGAATGTTAAATGGCAAAAATTCAATATTCTAGTGATCTTTTCAGTAAGTATTTGTAATGAAATAAAAAAATGTTTTCCATTTTATGTTGTTGCATAAAAAATAAGGGACTTTTCAAGATTTTTAGAGAGGTTCTTTTCTCTCCCTTGTCCTTTTATATGCAGCCCATTAAATGATTTAAAAAGTCGAGTCTTTGACTACTACTTTTAAAATATTTATTTTTAAAAATTCTTAATTCTATTTTAGAATATAGCCATTTTATCCAACAAAATAAGATACTTATTTTATACAAAAACCTCAGCTGAAAGTTGTTATACAATAGTAGCTTAATATAAACCTCAACTATACCATAACAAATTAAGATAGGTCAATCTTAATCCCAATATTAATGTTGCCTGCTACACAGCAGCTAAATCCTAATGCTTTCATCAAGCCATCCACCTCCTTTAGCAGTTGGCATGGCCAGCAAATACTTCAATAGCATGTTAGATTTTTGGCCCTAAGATAATTATTTTCTGTAGGTATATACAGCTAGTCCGTGACTTACAACAGTTTATTAAGTGACCATTTGAAGTTACAACAGTACTGAAAAAAGAGACGTATGATGATTTTTCACTTACAACTGTTGCAGCATCCTTATGGTCACATGATCAAAATTCAGATGCTTGGCAACTTACTAGTATCTATGACAATTGCAGTGTCCCAAGGTCATGTGATCACCTCTTACGATCTTCTGACAAGCTTGGTCAATGGGAAAACCAGATTCACATAATAACCATGTTACTAACTAACCACCGCAATGATTCGCTTATCAACCATGTCAAGAAATGTCATAAAATGGAGCAAAACCCACTTAACAAATGTCTCACCAACAGAAATGTTGGGCTCAGTTATGGTTGTAAGTCGAGGACTACCTGTACATTTAATTATTTGTGCCATTTCAATTCCATTACATCAATTTGGAAACATTTTGGAACTCATTGCTATCTATCCCTTATTATTCTAACTATCCTGAATAATATAGCATTAAAATACATTTCGCCCCTTCTATGTTCTATCTTATTTCCAGAACATTTCATGAAAACATAACCATTAGTTGCAATAGAAATTCTTGAAAAATTCCACTGTTCTGCATTCCTTCATTTTGAGAATCTTTCATAATTTTGTTTTAGCTGGTTAGTAGAATTTTATGGGAAGAACTTCTCTTCTTATCCTGTGACCACTCAGTTTGTTAAGGAAACAACCAATTTCTTAAAAAACATTTTTAAACTACTATGTAAAGCTTTGTCCTTGTGAGGTAAATGGTTATAATCATTTTGTTTTACTTCTTTACTTAGGAGGGCAAGATATTTTTATGACAGAAGAACAGAAAAAATATTATAATGCCATGAAAAAATTGGGATCAAAAAAACCACAGAAACCTATACCCAGGCCTTCAGTAAGAATGCTTGTTATTTATTTAACTGCGTAAAACAGATAGAAGTAAAAATACTTTGTTTTATAGAATTTAAAAAGATATCCTTTTATCAAAAACTGAAAAAATAACTCTGTAAAACGATTTCCAATCCTTCGGGAAATAATAACAAATTGTTTTTCTTTTCTTTTTTAGAATAAAATACAAGGCTTTGTTTTTGATTTTGTAACCAAACAAGCCTTTGACATCGGCATCATGATTCTTATCTGCCTTAACATGGTTACCATGATGGTGGAAACAGCTGACCAGGATTCTTCTGTAGAAGAGATTTTATATTGGATTAATTTGATTTTCATTGTCATTTTTACTGGGGAGTGTCTCCTGAAATTGATTGCTCTCCGTTACTATTATTTCACTATTGGCTGGAATATATTTGATTTTGTGGTTGTCATATTCTCCATTGTAGGTAAGAAACTTTTGAAGTAAAATCAGATTAAATTGTGCTATGCATAAATTTTTTTTTGCTTTCTGATAGCTCTCCCATCTTTACTAAAAAAAAAAAAAGATGCACTTATGTGCACAGGATACACTGACTTAGTGTTCTATTCCTGTTTTCTCAGTCATATCACTTAGAAAAGGGGGATGGAGCCAATTTCAGATAAAAGAAACCACAAGGATGTTATTTCATCCTGATTTAAAATTACAATAATATTCACTCCTGGTTTAAAGTTACAATAATATACAATAAATGTATGAAAATATAACTATACAATTTTAACTCGTAGTGAGGTTTTTGTTTGTTTATTTGTTTTGTTTAGGTATGTGCCTGTCACAGATCATTGAGAAATTCTTTGTATCCCCCACTTTGTTTCGAGTGGTCCGACTTGCCAGGATAGGTCGAGTCCTGCGTCTAATCAAGGGGGCAAAAGGGATCCGCACTCTGCTTTTTGCCTTGATGATGTCTCTCCCTGCCTTGTTTAATATTGGTCTCCTCCTTTTCCTGGTCATGTTCATCTATGCCATATTTGGAATGTCCCAATTTGCCTACGTTAAAAAGGAATCTGGGATTGACGACATGTTCAATTTTGAAACTTTTCCTAACAGTATGATCTGCCTTTTCCAAATTACCACATCCGGTGGTTGGAATTATCTGCTGTTTCCCATTCTCAACAAGGAGCCAGACTGTGACCCTAAAAAAGTTCATCCGGGAAGCTCAGTTGAAGGAGATTGTGGCAATCCTTCGGTTGGGATTTTCTTCTTTGTCAGCTACATTATCATCTCGTTTTTAGTTGTAGTCAATATGTACATTGCTGTCATTTTGGAGAACTTCAGTGTGGCTACCGAAGAAAGTGCTGAACCGCTAGGGGAAGATGATTTTGAGATGTTCTACGAGGTCTGGGAAAAATTTGATCCAGGTGCAACACAGTTTATAGAGTACAGCAAGCTCTTTGATTTTGCTGCCTCACTAGAGCCCCCTCTGCTAATACCAAAACCAAACAAAGTTCAGCTAATTGCGATGGACCTGCCCATTGTGAGTGGCGACAGGATTCACTGTCTTGATATCTTATTTGCCTTTACAAAGCGTGTTTTGGGTGAAAGCGATGAAATGGACGCCCTCCGTGTGCAAATGGAAGACCGGTTTATGGCTGCCAATCCCTCAAAAGTCTCCTATGAACCAATTACAACCACCCTGAAAAGGAAACTTGAGGAGCAATCGGCTAAGGTTATTCAGAGAGCCTTTAGGCATCATCGCCTGAGGAAACCAGTGTTCAATACGTCATACTTATACAGGGATGGGGATGTTTTTCCTCCCAAAACAGAAATGGCTTTTGATAAATTAAGTTTGAGCTTAACTCTGGAAAAGATAGAAAGAAGCTCCTCCACAACGTCACCTCCTTCCTATGATAGTGTAACAAAACCAGACAAATATGAACAAGAAAAGTCAGAAAAAGAAGAAAAAGGTAAAGATGACAAGGATTATAGAAAGTAACCCTGAAGCAGGCCTATCATTCTATCTACACCAAATTGTTTACAGCAGCAGAAAGGTAATACTGATACCAACAGGAATTATGCTGAAAGCTTATGCCAAACTGACCATTTCTACTATATCATCGTAATATATTCATGCATCCAAGGTACTTGTAATTTTATCGTTGACTGCATAGTATGGTAACAGACTTATGAGGACAAGAACAATTCTTCTTACCAGCTTGCACAGATGAAGAGGACTCACAAAATTACTATAGGCTGCCAGAATGCATTAGCACTTGTGTGTGTGTGTGTGTGTGTGTGTGGTGTGTGTGTTAATAACAACAACCAAAAATTATTCCCTTGCTGCAGTAATTGTATCCAATGTGTAGGTCTCAATTGCCATTTACGTCATGTTTGACAAAATTGTTAGTGCAGTTGTATTTCTGTTCATAAATTATTGTTTGTGATTATGTCCAGCAACAGAATTGATTTTTCATATATATTTAACTTTATTACTTATAATAATGATAGGATCATTGGGGAATTTAACCATTGTAGGCTTAAAACTCTTGTCAGACATTTGTAGGCTTGTCCAAAGTTTATCTGCAAGATCCTTCAGATCCTGGAAAAAAATATTGTCCAACTTAAGTTTACTAAAAGCTGAGCCTACCAGAAAACAAATGACGGGAATCAAAATAAGAGACTTGACGTCCAGTTAAAATTCAGTGAAAAGCTTAAGAGAATTGTAAGCAACTAGAAGTTCAGATCTTGAACTCATGTGATTGGAAAGAGCTAGAAGTAGGCAAGATGGAAGCCCAGCTAGGAGGTGAAGGGTACGGACAGTGAATGGTTGGCCACCTGGAATGGAGGCACATACCTCCCTTGAAAAGAATAGGGCATTTCCACAGTGGATAGTTTGTGATGTGATTCTTTCAGGTAGCAGAATTTCAGATCTCTGGCGAGAACATACTCAGCATTATCCATGAAGATGGATGAGGTTTCTTTGGCTATTGAGCTTTATTTTGTACAGGCTGAGAGGGGCTGTTGGGCACAATAGCACATGTGTGTTGCTTCCTGCCATAGGTAGCGACAGAAGTTCTTCCTCCATTACTGCAAAGTCAGCCAGCAGCTTGAACTACTAATCTTCTTTATTGGCTGTTGCTGGTTCCAGGCTTTATTTGCAGTTTATCACTGCTCAAGCCATTGGCTGTTTGAATTTGGCTGAAATCTGCTCACCTTTAAAGAGACAGGTAGGTGCTTTAAGAATATAGGCTGGTGTCTGGCATAACTCAAGTGCTAAATGGAACTTTGTGGGATTTTCTTTCCCAAAACAATCTGAATTAGCTGCTACATGGACTCCCATCAATTCTGACTATTTTTTATTTTTATAGTTTCTCACGTTTGGGCAATTCTTCTAGCTCCTCAACTTCCACAGGTTTTAGTTTTCCGTTTGTCTGTACACATACAAATGTTCCTATTGTAGAAGAGGAATGTGTTCCAAGGTGATACTTCTTTAGAGGAAAAAGTCTTGAATCCTGTGAGATATGGTACATAAGAATGCAAAAGCTGAAAGGATTTTATGTTCTCATATGTATTCTCCTGTAACTACTTCTACAGAGAAAAAGATAACTATTAAAAATAATCAAAAATAAAATGTACATATTCTAAAATTAAGTACTATAGCATACAGTGTATACACTGCATTTGATGGTAAGACTAGCTCTTACCATTCATATATGGGTTCACTGATTTGATTGATTGGTTGACCATCGGAAAACACATATTTTCAATGGTTTTAGGAATAATTTTATGGTTGGGGGTCACCACAACATGAGGAACTGTATTAAAGGGTCGTGGTATTAGGAAGATTGAGAACCACTGCTCTAGCACATTAGTTATCCATTGAATTTATTTGGCCAGTTAGTATACTAGTATTTTCACACATGTACAGATAACAGATGCTCTACTTCCTAGCTCACGCATGATGGAAAAGTAAACAACAAGAAGTCATAACTTGTCCAAATTTCAGGGTTACACAAGTTTGTAACTTTTACCTATTCATGTTGTATCATACAAGATAACTTTATCATACAAGATAAAGTTTCTATACAGCTATGTGTAGGTAAACTGAACCAAATAACATGATGACTTTTCTTTTTATTGTAAATGTCCGTATCTGAATTAGTATATTTCACAATTTGTTTGCTAAACAGGATTGTTTGTTTATGTGGGTCATAATTGTTTTTACTGGTTTTTGTTTTAATTTATATTTAAACCATCCAGAATCTTCTGGAGTGGGCAGCTATAGCAATCTAATAAATTAAGTGAAATAAGCCAAAATAATTATACAGTTGGCTTATTTAAATACACCATTTCTTTTTTCTTCCAAACTAGCTGTAGAATGATTGGATATGAACTTTGAGCCTAGCCTAGCTCTCAAAAGATTATTGAATCATCATCATCACTATTTGAACGAGAATTGTTCAAACACATCTAGAGCTGCAAAGGTTCTAGATTAGCTTCTTAAATATTTTATAGATTGAAAATGTCCACTCGATAAAGTGTGCTTATGTTGTGTCTAGAAAAAGTGCAGATGTCAGGTGCTGCCTTAGGAAAAGAATCCCACATAACTTTCTCACAAGGAGAAAGGAAGATTCTTCCCATGAAGCTTTTGAAAAATGAGCAAGATTTTTAGACATTACTGTTTAACCTCTCTGCAGTTGTTGAATGCTCATTACTGTAATTGAGTGAAGACTTTCTTAAAAAAAAAACAATAGTTGATAGCTTTTCCTATACTCTTTTTACTTTCAGATAAGAGCTTTCTCACCTTACGTACCTTATAGGGGAAACAGAGAAATCCTAAATTAACTGAACATGCCATTCTTGGAAATGGGGCTGATGTGTATAATTTAGTAAAGTTACTAGATTAGAGTGATTTGGATTTTATTGGCAGGATCTAGATCTGTTGGTGCAGAATACCTTTGTTGCCTCTGATTCATCTTTTTTGTAGTTGTCAGACGGGGGAAATCATGTGTCTGAAGCTGAAACTAGTTGAAGAGATATTCTTCTATTTATATTTGATGCTGCATATAACCACTGTACAATTTTTACTACTTGATTATCCTATGACATGAAACATTACTGTACTAACAAGATGTACTATGAACATGGTAATTGGTTTAAAATATAAATGTATACAACTTTTTATAAAAGCATATTTTATATTATTTTTAAATCACTTTGATTTATCAGCTTGCAGTTGATATATGCTTGCTTTATTTATTTGAACCGGTATTTTATAATACATTTTAACACACCAATGGGGGTGGTGGACAATCAGGTTGTTAATGCTATGTTTTGTTTCTGTGCCTCCTAGCAGTTTCAATTAAAAAAGCTGAACAATTAGTAATTGAAGTAATTGCAGATGTATGGAGACTGTGTGATTTGCCTGTGAAAGCAATGAGCTTTGGGTCAGTGATATTAGTGAATGTTTGGTTCTCATAGTACTAGCACCAACACTTGGGTCTTGAATTTCACTACTGCTACATCTGTTGCAGTATTCGTTTTGATCTGTGCTGCGTTAGATATATCATAGCTGTAATTTGGTCCCCAGAGGCTGATTCGAATGTCCTCTTTGTTTAAGAACAAAATAGCAAAATGAAAACCAATGTATCTGGGCATCTTTTGTTTTGTGTTTCTTACAGAGGGAAGAAGTAAACCTATTCTTTTACTTTGGCTATTGACTAGTAATATATATTGATGAATTGCATGTAGAAGAATATTTTAGCATAAATAACTATAAACCATATTACTAACAAGCCAAAAGAATAAAGCTGATCATTTTTATCATGGATCGATTAACTTTGTGCTTCTTTTTAACTTTAAATTTTCATTAAAGCAAAATAATGTTTAAGGATGGGGGAGAGGGTGTTAAATAGTGAAACAAACCAAAATAAGATCCAATTGTTTACCCAATTGGGCCCAGCTACATCAGTAGATACCAAAGATTTAAGCATCAGCAGGATATAATTGATAGAGAATGTGTAGCTCAGAGCTGAACTGTCAACAGCACCAGTCTGAAGATAAATAGTACAAGAGCAATGCAGAGACTTGCTCTTATATAAATCCAACTGTGTTTCGTGGTTTACTAGGTGATTGTGACAATTTTCACCCTGCTAGTACAAACCTTTTCATCTGTAATGTCTGTATTAGCATGGAAGGAATAATTACAACTTCTCAAGCTATCACCTAGAAACCATCTTAATCCAGAGATTAAGCCAAATTTTAAATCAAAGTAACATAAAGGCAAGATAATGTAGGAATACCCCAGATCTACTATTCTTTCACTAAGGAGGACCAACTGGTCCCCTACCTGCTTCATTTCTGGTAAGCAATAAATATATCCTTATTTTCTTAACAGGTTGATGCTTCTTTCCTTTGGAAGATTTAATTTAGCACTTTCCTAATCTTTTGATGCTTATTTTTCATATTTTTATATGCTGTATTTGCAATCTTGTAGCATCAAGGTGATTTTTATAAATTCTCTAATATTCTCAGGAAAAATCACCTCTCATCTTTTTCATTAATACAGAAGTATGTTTTTCTGAACTCAGCTATTGTCCTACAGTATTTGTCTCGATATTATCACATATTTTTACTCTGATCTATTATATGAGGTTTTTATCTTTAGAGAGTTATGATCTCATGTATCATCCCTGGAATGTTTATGTAAAACTAATGTTCTTAATTATTGATTTCAAACCCTTCACATTAATTTGCCAGCAGATAATCCATTTAATTTATTTAATTTGCCTGCTTTTCCCTGGATTTGCTAGATAAATCATAATGCTGAGTTTTCTACTGCCCTATTCCCAAGTATGGCCCCAACCTCACTAGCCAACCATGTCTGTTCTAGTCATTCTGTGGCAGTCTGCTGATCCATTATCCATGCTCTTGGCTAAGGAAATAAACTGCAATCCACGAGACAGAAGCAAAATAAAACTATATACAGTATTTTGGGATAAAATTATGAAGCTTGGCATATTTGGACACTAAACAATTATAATGGCTCCCAGTAACTAAAATATATTTCAGAAGACAGGAGTGACAAATGTGTCCTACTTTTTAATCCAGTCAAGGAGAATATTCTTGTGAATGTCACAAATAATGGTGAATGCAATTTTCGGCAAGGTCTTTATTCCAAGATGTAAAATAGAATGCAGCCTTACAGCAATCACACGAGTTAACTGTGACTCATGGAAGGTAATTGATTTGATAGCTGTGCTGCCAGCTCATCAAGCTGAAGATCTCTTAAAGGATTTTTGTTTAAGGACAAAATTTGGAATCCTTTCTCCTTCCTTACATTGCTTGCTTTTTTCTTAACATCCCCAGCATCATCGAGAACATCATTTCATTATTTAGATGTATTTTTCCTTTTCATCTTGAAATATAGTTGACCTACTGTTGACCTACTGTTTCATGTAGGTCAACATGTATTCCTGCCCTTCCAAGGCACATCTAAAGGATGTGGTCTTTTTGTCAGCAATTCTCCAAATGGACAGCAGTAGCCATAAACTTTGTGAGGTGATCAAACAGCTATGTCCCCTTCCAACCTGTTTTGTTTCCCATACGAGCATCATAGCCTTTCTTTCAAGCATTCCCTGACTAGTTGTGTTGGCAACTGCATGGGCTCAACCTTTCACTATAGATTAGATGTCCATTCCCAGACATTTGAAAGGGGCAACTTATTTCAGTCATGTTATGATACCCAAACACTGCTCCAGGTAAGCAACTTTTTACTCACTCGTGTTAAGTCACAATGTTCACAAGAAATAGTTACTTATCTTTAACCGCTGTTCCTTGAGTCGTCATCTGTGAATTCACACAATCTGTGAATCTCTGATCTTGCTTGAAGTCCTGTGTTCCTTCAGATCCTTTCTGCCAAGAACTGGAGGTTCTTATTCATCCGGTCACAGGGTATATGGGCGAGATGGTGTTTCTGCCAAGTAATTCTGTTCTAAAAATTGCAAATGAGACTCTGCCCTATGTGTGCTTTCAAAGGTGATCACTTAAAGAATTAGTTACAGATAGTTTGATTTTTTTTTAAAAAAGAACAAATGTTAAACAAGCAATAGTCACCTGGTTTATGCAATGGAATTTCATTTTAATGTTTGCCTATTAGTGTACATTCAAATAAAGTTATTCTATGTTCTATGACCATCTATGTATAACGGGTTTCATTGAGGGCTGCATTAGGGTTGTGTTTGACCTCAGGGGGGGAGTAGGGTGGGTGTGGCCGGGTGGGCATGGCCAGCTCGATGTCACTCATGTTGGGGGCGCCTGTGACGGCCTGAGCTCTCTGCCAGTGAAAACAAGCTCCCAAGCTCCATTTTTGGCTGCAACGGCCTCCTGCACCCCTCTGCCAGCAAAACAGAGCACGTGGCCCTCCCGAGCTCCGTTTTCGTTGGCAGAGGCACCGCAGGCCGGTCCTTTGCTGTTTCCAGGGTGGGCCCCCGGGCCAGATCTAAGCACCCCATGGACCAGATCCAACCCCGAGCCTTGAGTTTGACATCCCTGATGTATAACATTAAATCATAATGGGTTCAGAATTTCACTAAATAAACCACATTACAGTAAGGATGATCCATCCAGAGTTTAAATCCAATTTTTCCATTGCATACCCAATATGCACCTTATAATAATTTTTATACTATTCATATCAAGAATACCTATGCACGAAGAATCCTCTAGGAATGCCATGCCATTTCCTCTGGTTCAATCCCTCATCTAGTCACCAGAAACTATCAATGTTAAAGCCAGACCCACTGGGTATGATAGCAAGTCCTTTTTTTCTGCTAACGAAAAAGCATATTGCTGGAGAAAGGAAGTGGTTGGGACATCTGGAGACATGTTCAGATTCAGATAGTGGCAGAAACAACACAACAGATCCTTGCCATGTCTAGAATTAGCTGAAGTATCAGTAGTACTTTTTTAGTGCAGAACTCATTGATTTGGCAAAGCAAATCAGATGAAGTAGAAGTAGGTGAAGTGTTTTTCAAAAGCCCACAATCATTGCTGCATTGCAAAATATTCCAAATCCATACACCGTGGACTTCAAATCACAATGTCTGTTTTCATGCAATAAACACAAGCAACTTGCATTATGACTTAGCCTAATGTTCTGAAACGTCACTTAACACATGAAGCCATTCACATCACATGCGCATACACTAATGTACTTAAGGTATTGTCAAAACTTTGCAGGCAGAAAGGAGATATCTCAATTTATGATGGCAAACAAATGGGAAGGAATTTGATAAAAACATGAAGATGATGTGCTTGTACTTTACTAGTATCCTTTTCAACATTTTTATTGAATTATAAAGTATTATGGGGTTTTAAATTGAGCCAAATCTATTTAATCATTTTAATTTTTAACTGCTGTTTTGTCTTGTGTTTTTAAATAGGCTGTACACCGCCCTGAGTCCTTCGGGAGAAGGGCGGTATAGAAATAAAATTATTATTATTATTATTATTATTATTATTATTATTATTATTATTATAATACAAAGTAAATAGAAAACCAGTGGGGGGGAGAGAAGGAGAAATGAGGAAAGATTAAAAAAAAGAAAAAGCATTGAGTTCTGATTCTCTCTAACAGTAAAATAAGGCATTAACATCAAATCACAGCTTTTTGCTTTTTCATAATAATATGAACAAGCCATTTCTATAAAGATCTATCAGTCTAATCAGTAAAACCGAAAATCAAATTTTCATTCTTTTCCGCATCAAGCACAATTAATATTAGCGTTAATAGTATCCTTAACTCTTGATCTTTGCCATTATAAACAAAAAATACCCCTTCTCTTTCATAGAATGAATTTATGTGTAATATTAGAGATCATATTGAGGCTTCTCTAACAAACAGCTACATGATCATGTTTATATCTCATTAATTAATCTGCCACACTATCAATTTTAAGATTGGTTTTGTGCCTTGATCATTTACTTGGTCTTCTTTGTACTTAATCTTAGTGCTGTTTATTCACTGTACTCCTTATCTTTCATTACTAAAGTTCTCAGATTATTTGCATTTTCAGCTATCGGAGAATCATCAACGTACCGCAGGTTACAGATGTTCCTTCTTCCAGCTATAAAACCATACTTATCTTCTTCCAATCTAGCTTTAGTCACCTACTGATTCAATAAAGAAAGAATGTATAGCCTTGTCTTGTTCTTTTGCCAATATGAAACCAGATTATTTTGCCATATTTCATCTGGACTGTGCCCTATGTACAGGTTTCACATAAGAACAATGAGCTATTCTGGGATTCCCATAGATATTCCTAAAGATAATTCATAGCATTACATAGTCAGCACAATCAAAACGCAATCTGATTTCTATGTACTGCATCTGGTCATGTCTCTACAGATAGCATCACTGTGGTTGTTTCAAAGCAAAGAATGGACAGGTAGAAACTGATAAACCATTATTCTTCTGCTTCATTTCTGATTCCTAGGCCATACAGTCCAAATACATTTCCTATTTTGGCTTTCCATTTTCCGTCATAGGCAGCTTGCCTGTTCTGTTGATTTCAGACTGAAATTGACCATAACATTTGTTCACCTTTTCTTCTTCTGCACCAATGGTTAGAGCATAAACTTGGATAAGTGTCATATTGAATGGTTGTCCATTAAATCTGGTATTATTTGTTGATAGACTGCATGGTACCCAAGTTCTCTCTTAGCTGTATCTTTCCTATGAAGGCAATATTAGTCCTTGTTTTTATCCTGGGTAGTAAGCAGTACCATCTTTTGAATGAAAGTGTCCAATTCTAATCCATTTCAGTTCATTGTTCCCTAAGATGTCAAAATTAAAGCCGATTATCTTTCAAGATGTCGACCTTTCCCATATTCATGCTTTTCATGTTTATGTTTATGTTTTCACTGTAATTATGTCAAAGCTTTGAATTTTTCTGTATGGCAACATCAGCAACTGGATGGCCCAAAGATTTTGCCTAGCAGCATCATAAACACAAATAGTATTTCGAAATACCGTCTGTTCTTTCTCAGTAGCATGTTGAATGCCTTCCAACTTGAGGGGCCGTCATCCCGCACTATGTCATCAATCACTTTATTTTGCCCAGCCATGATTTTCTGGTAAAATATTGAATTGGTTTCTCCTGAGCAGTATGAATTGATGCCTTTGCCATTGTCTCTAAAGTGATCTTCCTCTTCCAACATCATCCTGTATTATTCCTGCTCAATATAGATAATTGCTTGCTTTAACTGGGCACGTAGATGACCTTCAGAGTTTGTGTGAGCCTCCTGGGACTCTTCCATACTCTTGACATATTCTCCCAGCTTTTGTCACTCATCCCATCCAGGAACACACAAACACATATGCCATGATTAGGCAGCATAGCACGGATTGAGGGGAACGAATCATGTATATGCACATGTATATCAAATATACACACATGCACACATACAGCTTGTTTTGTGTGTAATAAAGGTGTACCACACTTCAAAGGCAGGAGTGTAACTCCTGTGATTTTAAAGCAGTCACAATTTTTTTGGAGGTCTGCAGAGGAGTCTGTGTGAGTGTATGTATGAGACAGAGAGAGGGGGTGGGGAAGAAAAGGAAGGAAGAAATGAATGAATAAATAAATAAATTTGGACTCACAATCAATATTGGAAACATGATTACTGTTTGGATATTAGTTTATGCTATTTATAAAATCTTTAAAAAGGAAAACCTAATGGATTTCAAACATAAGGAGAATTCAATGAACTTAGGAAGTTTTGTATTTTTAGCCCAAGTGCATGATTTGTTCAGCAACCTGAACTCTACAGCTCTAATAAAATAAAAACAGTTTCAACTTGCATCAATCTTTTAATGGTTCAAATATATTACTTATCCCAGGACGTATAACTATCGTTTATTTCACTATACCAGGGGCAAAACTTGCACGTCTCTTGCTAAACGGCGTGATTTTTTTTCCCAAACAGCACGTGGTCTTGAAGAAAATCTGCATCCAGTATAAGGTGGGGCCGAGGCCCCCCCCCCCCATTTTTCCTTTTTTTTTTTAAGGGTGTGTTTGTGTGTGTGTGTGAATTCATTAACGCGACCCGCTTCTTTATGCCAAGAAAGCGGGTCGGATAAAGAGCTCTGCGCTTTATTCGCTGGCGTTGAAAGCACGCCTTCTTGTTGTTTTTTCCCATGCATCGATGCAAGAAAGACCCAACCGCAATGTGCTAAAATGGCAGCAGTTTGGGGGGCGGGGGGAGGTTAGCATTGCCAGGAGAGGAGAAAATATTGCCAGATTAAAAATAGCCGAATACCTCTCTCTGAAAGCCAACCACCAAGAACCTAAGCTTGCTTTTTTTTTTCGGGATGTGGGTGTGTGTGTTCTTGCAGGATGACTCATTTGCTTTCCTTGGAGAACGAATCCAAAACGAAGTACCTGGCTCGGAAACACTTGAGGGGAGGGGAGAGAGAAAGGGGAGAATTTTTTTAAAAAAAAAAACCTCTCCCCGCAGGAAAGGCTGCCGGGCAAGGAAGGCAAAGCATGGGCTGGAGACTTTTGTGCATTACGAGCCACCCTTTTCCTCAGCGACGCCTCGAGACGGACCCGCGCTCCGCTTTTGCTTCGCCTCACCCCGCCTTTTCTCTCTCCCAGCGCTTCTGAGGAGACGCGGCGCATAGTCTCCCACCCACCCACACCCACACACAGCCCGGAGAGCTTTGAAGGGATGGGTGGAGGTAGGGGGCGGTGGAAATGACACTGCAGTGCCGCCGAAGTCGAACCATTTGCGGCACTCCGCCGTCCGGGCGGGGGAGGGAAGGGAGGGTGGAGAAGGTGGTGTGCCACTTCTCGCGTGGTTCTTTGCGCGGTTCCTGCTGCTGCTGCAGGGGCACGAATTAACTCAAGGAGCGGAAAGACGCCCCGTCTGACACGCAATCGGAGCCGCAGAAAGACCGGCTCCCTTTTCTCTCTCTCTCTCTCTCTCTCTCTCTCTCTCCCACCCCCTTCCCTAAACTCGGTCCTTCAGAGTTGATGGCTATGTGGTTGGTCTGCGGAAATCGAGGAGATGGTACTAGAAGAAAGCTTGTGTTTTCATTCCCCTTAAGTGGGAATGTTTGTATGTAGATACGGGTCCTGTACGTAGGTAGGTATTCCTTTTTAATAGCCACCCTGACTTAAAGATAAGTGG